AAACATGAATTTTGGGTTAAAATAAAGTGTTCATGACTTTTGCATTTTGAACGGATTTTTGGGTCGAAGACACTTCCATAAACATTATTGAAAATCGATATTATACTATCATGCATATATTATAAATTTCGTTGTTTTTCTTCAAATTAATCATTTCGAATCCGCGTTATTTATTGCACAAATATGAATAAACCAAGGTTTAAATTTTAAAATTCGATAAATTATTGGAAAAGAAACATAACACCAATTATGTAATACCCAAAATTTGACCAGTGACTAAAATGTAAGTTTTGAAAGTTTAGTGGCTAAAGTATAAACTTTGAAAAGTTTAGGACCCAAAATTTATAATTTTTAAAAGCTATATATTTTAGCCTGTAAAAGAAAAGTTTGGAAAAGTTTGGATTAAAACAGAGATTTTAGTGGGGATCAGATTTTTTATACGAGAATTGTGATAAAGGCTATAAAGCAGTAAAGTTCGATATTGAAATCAGATAATCAGATCGAACCGGAATTTTACGAAAATTTGAAGGATGTTATAAAATGTTGGAAATATAGATCAGAGAAATTTGGCTTAGAACAGTGTAATTTTTCAGATTTGATCGAACAGTGGAATTTTAATGACTAAAATGCAATTTTTGAAAATTGCATAGTCAATTTCAAAAGTCAAAGTCAAGTTGTATCATCTTTGACCAAGGAATATTTTATTGGAAGATAATACAATGACATTTAGTAATTTTCAAGATTGATTAAGGGTATTTTTGAGATTTTTCATTAAGTGAATATTAAATTCTAGTAAAGTGATTTTTGCCAAGTGTATCAAGTATTATATCCTAGAAACCACGAGAGAATTCAGACATTTTCAGCTTCTTTCTTCATTTGGCCGTATGTTCAAGTTCTAACAAGGTAAGGTTTTGATTTTTGATTTTTGAAGCAATATAATTTATTTTTGGATTTAGCTATTAGATAGAGAATTAATCTACATGAAATTCTCTATCATTTGGTACCAATATTTCATGGTGAAGATGATTATCTGATTAGATTTCATGATTAAGGTTTAAGGAGGTTTAGTGATCTTGAAGAATTGATGAAGGATTTTTATGTTTTTTATGTTAGTGATTATTTCTAAAGCATGTATGATAGTTAAAATTAATTGTACATGCATAAATAAGGTTTGGCCATGTTAGGGATTATGAGAAGGATGAGATTTTGATTCACTTTGATGTTGTTATGACTGGAAATGCATGAATTCATAGGAGGTTGAATTCATGCTTGAAAATGAACAAAAATTTTCCCTAAATGATTTAGAGGTATTCAACCATAGGAAATAAATCTGGCAGTGAGTTTGAAAATTCACCAGAAATTATATAAAAATTATTTGGAGGTTATTTTTATATATTGTGTTCTTATATTAATCTAGGTTTGTTTAAATTAAACGGGGATCAATTTCAAGGTGGATACAAAAAGATATGAATTTTTAACCGAGGAAAGGTCAGAAAAACGGGCAGCAAATTCTGCACAAAACAGATTTTGTTGTCAATTTTGAAAATTCACCATAAATTGTACATAATGAATTAGAGGAAGTTATTTATATGGATAGATTCGTATTCGAGTCTAGTTTTCAATGGAAGAAATGGAATTAAATTCCAGTGCGTATAGAAACACAAATGATTCTTTAAAGGTAGTGCAAGTTGTTTGAATATGAAATTTTAGAATTTAAGTTGAAATGGATTAGAAGATGAAGAGTAATGTTTAAATGTTGAGTATATTTCTGGATACTTGGAATTGAAGTTAAATGGTAAGAGACCATTTTGAATAAATTGGAAATGTTGAGAAGAATTCTAAAAGAATTCATTTTAATGGTTAGATGGTGGAATTCGAAAGGTTCCAAAAACTTTGGGGACTTGTTTGCAAGTTCTTAAATGAAGAAGTATTATTTGGGTATTTTATTCAAGTGCTGAATTTTTAGTAATTAATGTACAATTATCATAATGGTGAAGGACCATTATGAATTAAAGGAAAAGTTGAGTTAAATTCTAGAAATAATTTAAAATATGTGGTTTGATTTTATAATTGGTAAAAGTTGAAGAATCATGTTGGAATAATTATTTATGGAATTGAATAAGTGTTTCGATAAGTTTGAAGTTATAATGGAGTTATGAGTTTTGTTAATATCGATTTAGTTATCGATTTTATTGTATAGATTTTCAAATGTTAAAATGAGCTTATATTAGTACGATACTAATATGTAGTTCGAACAATTTTCGTATTATAATTTGGTATTGTCAGACTACGATAAATCTAATAATCTGAACGATCCGAAAGGAAGGACAAAGCTCGTGACTAATACTATTGTATAAGAGTTCTGTAGTAAGGCAAATGTGAGTGCAGTTTATTTATTTAATTATTTTGATCGATGATGACTTGTGATAAGTCAACCTCACATTATTTATTTCAAATATATGAATTGTTTTTTGACTATGGAATTATATCCGTAATATTGTTAATAAGTTTTATAGATGATTTTGGGTATGAACTGATCGTGTCATATTTTACGAATGTGAATTAAATATATTTTGATTCTGATATGATGTTTATCAAATGATTACAAAATGAATTGAAAGCCCACTGTATGTTATATTGAGAGTCAAAGGTATAATTGGCATGCCATGAGGTGGAGTGATTATTTGTTCTGATTCTGATATATTGTGGTGTACCGGAGTGTACACTAGTATATACATTCTGATCTGAATGCACTTTGCATGCATATTGTTATTTCCGATATGATAGCACTGTGTGTGCTTATCTGTTCTGACTCTGATGATCTAAGATCTGTATTGCGCACACTCGTCTGACTCACGTACCTTATATTCTCTTAAAATATACTTTGGGCTATAAAAATGAAATACGAAAGTTTTGAAAAGTGTCTGATTACAAAAGAATATAGATTGATTATTCTGTCTGATCTGATTTATTATAATTCTGTGAAAATCATCAGATTATTCTTTTCAGGTTTCTGATAAAGTTCAGCATGAGATATCTGATTTGAGCGTTCTGAAAATTCTGTATGTTTTATTTTAATGATTATATATATATATATTGATATTTTTTATTTATTCTCACCTTTAGTTTTACTTACTGCCTCACTAAGTTATACTTAACGTGTGATGATTTTCATGCGTAAAGTCTGATTGAGATACATACGCTTTATGAGGAGTCTTCCAAGCATCATGTGCAGATCATCTGTAATACCAGTTATCAGTAAGACATCATTGAATTTTCTTTTGACTAGTAGTAGCATGTATACTTATGTCAGTAGTTTCTATTTATCGTATTTATTTTAAATAATTTGTAATAGTAAACTATAACTATTTTAGTTTATTTTACATAGTTTAGTTTTATCGGTACCTATGCATGACAAGAATTTATTACATTATTATATTTTAAAAGATTTTATGAAAAGACATGGTTTAATAAAATTACTAATTAACAAATGATTTTATTTTCCTGTAATAAGAAATAAATTATAAGTTGACATATACTTTAAAATAGATTTTAAAGTTAGAATAAGAGTGTTTTCAAAAGAAATAAATTTTTAGAGAAATTTTAGTTCAGTAAATGTTTTCAAGTTGATGTGACATCTTTGATTCGTATATCGAATATATACGGGTTAAGGGTGTTACAAATTACTTCACTTCAATTTAAAAGTAAATAAATTACCAAAAATTTGGACAAGTTCTTAAATTTTAGAATTGTTGGATGTATATCTCACTATGTGACCATCACCTTTAAAAAAAAGGGTTGCAACCTAAAATGTAATGTAACCTAAATTATGGTGCAAACATGTTGTAACCTAAAATATGGAGTAGCTTGGAATTGTGGTTCAACCTAAAATATAGATGTAAATGTGCGCAATCTAAAATATGGTACAAAAGTAAATTGTAACTTAAAATGACAACCATAAATTAGTATAACTTTAAAAAGTGATTATACCATACCTTTTTTTACTTTTTAACTTTGGGTGAAAAGGTCGATAAAAAGAGAGAATCTCGAGAGAGAGAAAAGAAATGAGAAAAATGGCGTTTTTAAGTTTTGCACAATAGTAATCAGTTTTTGATTGAAGGTTCATCATATTTCGATTGAGTTAATTTTTGGACAGAAGCAAGTGATAAGGTGTTCTTGACTTTGTACGGTTGGATTTTTCATCCGAGTCTTGTAACGTTGGAAATACCTGTTTTTCAACAGGCTGTTTTTGGGTGATGTTCTCCATTTTCTCTCATTTGTTAAAGACTACTTGTTATTAGCCTTTGTTGGAGTTGTATGCTCGTTGTAGGTTGGATATTGTAGTATTGCATTTGAACATTTGTTGATAGTGGAGCTTTTGTTCGGATTCTAAAGTCTCGTGTTTTTACCCTTGATTTAGAGCGATTTTTCATGTAAAAATATTGGTGTCTCGTTTTTATTGTTTTCGTGGTTGCATTGGTTGATGTTTGGTTGGTTAGTAGGACTAGAGAACAAATATTTAGTTCTATTGTGTTTGCAATAATTGTTGACAGGCGTTATATGGAGAGAAAGAACACCGATTGTGCTTCCGCTTTGTTTCGATTGTTCGATTTCTTCCCCAACAAGAATTTTAGACAAGCTGAGAGATAAAATATATCAAACTGTGCAGGTTGCACTTCCTACTGACTGAACATCAGAAAACTGTTCTCAAAATACTTGGGTTTCAATGATGCTTCAAAACTGTCACATAATTGATCAAGGATTCTTCTATACGATTAGTGTAATGATGTGAAACGCACCAATATTTTCTTAATTGGCTAAACTAATTAAACAAGCTTACGAAAACTCTCTATTGCTTGTCATCGTGTAGTTTCTTCCATTACTCAGCCTCCCACGTCTCCACTTGTCAAGTGTTATATTGTTTTGCTACTAGAAAATCTTGAATGGCTCGAGGTTTAAACGGGGAGGCAATGCGCACGGATGTTTATCACTAGGAGACTTTACCATCGACTGCAACATAAATCCTTCGCTAACCCATGCTCTGTCGTTTCGGAACAGACCCTTTGAGCATTCGTAGGTATCGTCGGTTTAAACTTCAAGAGTTTCGAGTATTCATTCAACAAATGAAAGATGTAATCATACACATTTCGCATTGTCAACATCTCTTCCATGAATTGGCTTCCTGCTTTCCCAATGGCCTGTGCCTGCAAGTTCATCGAGTTAAAGGGTGTACTTTGAAATACAGATGACTGAACTCAGTGTAGTACCTGGTCAGTGTGACTATTGCCCCATTCAACTGCAAACTTAAGATACCTGCATTTGTTTCGGCGACGGATAGGCCAGAAATGGCGCATTGGGACGAGGCTTCTCGAGAAGAAATCATAGTATTCGGGCTGTATCATCAGGGTCATGCTGTCGCATGCCATTATGTATTTCTCACTTACAGACCACGTCCTTCATTCTGCATAAATTTTGTACCTATGTGTGCATTGATCTCCCACGTCGAATGTTTGAAACCTGCTCTGATTTCTTTACCCCAATCCTGAATCAATAACAAACCATAGAGTTATAGAGTTGCCCGAGTTTTATCCGATTCCGGATTCGGATTCAGAAGTTACCTGCTCATAAATCCGAACATGCCTGTCGTGTGTTTATCCGAAACGTTGCAGTTCAAAAGGTCTCCTCTATCTGCAGAAGTAGGGGCACCCTTCCACTTCCAGTAGCCATAAGGTTACCTATTTTCCCACTTGATCCTCTCAGCCCCTTTCGTGATTGCCTTCAATGTGTCCTCCCATGCTTAATATTAACCTCTGCCCTGCCACAACAGAGCCAACATGATTAAATTACCTAGTTACTTGCAGTAAAATTAAACATTAGGCCTATGCACCAGAATATACCATCCCCAGAAGGACCAGTCATGGAATATAATGTCCAGAGCCGCCTTCTCACCGCAGTAATGAAACACCGGAGGAGGCGATGCGGCCGAGCGTCCTTCGTAGTCTCTTTTCATGACAACAGTATTGTCTCCACAATAGAACACAAGTTCCAGGTCGGGTACTTTTCCAGGGTACAACTTCGGAAGCTGCAGAATGCCCCATAACGTGAACAAATCTCTGGTTTGAAACGACGGTCTGTACCTCTCCACGTAAACGTTCCCGTTGACGATCACGAGCCTGAAACAATTTTTAAAAAATTGTTTAGATTAATAGATTAGTTAATTTATTATTTTATTATTGTTTAGATTTATTTATTTTGAATAAAATAATTTTAAAGTAATTACTAAAAAACATTTTAAAAAATTAACCAATTGCTCGCGAATTTATCGAGTCGAGTTAGACTTCGTTCGACTCAACTCGATCGAGTTGAACCAATTCGAGTTGAGCGTTTATCGAATTTTGATTGAGTCTAGTTCAAATAATTCACGAGCTGCTCAAATCGTTAATCACACCCATATTGAACCATTCCCACCTAGCAACTACATCTTCTTCTAAGCATATTGTATTTTGCATTTTCCCTTCTCACTTAATTATTAAACTATGAATTTCATGTTACTGAAATCACAAATAATGAAATAAATGTAATGTACGAACTCAGTTCCTTGTAGATTTTTCTATATTTAATAATAATATGATATAAAAATACATAGTAAATTTATAAAAGATTATTATCATAAACATTAACATTGAAAAAATATTTCACATTATATTAATAGCATTTATTATATTTAGAGTTTAAATTTTTAGAAGTTTAATTTTAAATTTCAAAATTTAGAATTAAGGGTTAGTGTTTAGGGTTTAAAATCATTTAAATATGTTAGGTAATATTTAAATAAACATGTTTTTGGAGTAAAAATTTATATATGAAATAATTTTACATCTATAACTGGTCAGATAATTTGATTTGCGGAAACATTGCTTAATGTAAATTATCATTCGAAGAATAAAATTCCTTACGGAATTTTCGTTTCGTTTCGATTCTTCTACACAAACACCGATAAATCATGGTGAGAGCACGAAGAAGCAGGCTGAAGATGAAACGACGGCGGCACCACCGCCTACAGTGGAGGATCCAAAAACTGAATCTGAAGAAAAAACTGTATCACCATTCACCACCGTAAGCAGAGGAGAAACCCGAAGAATGGAAAGCTCTTGCTGTAGTTGAGATTGAGAGTGAGCTTGGCCGTCACCTCGTAATCATTTGCTTCTTATCGTCTAGTTTTTTTGTTCCAATATTCAGTCTCCCAAGTCTCCACTTGCCTAGCTATATTCTTCTCTGCTTCGAGAGAAGCTCGAATGTCTCGATCTCCAAATGGGGGAGGCAATCCACATGGAAGCTCATCACTAGGAGACTTCATCGACTGCAACATAAACTCTTTAACTAGGCCTTGTGAGGTGGTTTCGGCACAGAGCCGTTGGGCGTTCGGAGGTATCGTCGGCTTAAATTTCAAGAGTTTCGAGTATTCGTTCAACAAATGAAACATGTAATCATACACATTTCGCATTGCCACCATCTCTTCCATGAATTTGCTTCCTGCTTTCCCTATGGCCTGCGCCTGCAGGTTCACGTACATAAATGAGTAAATTCTGTGCAATCCATGTGTTGATTTTCCGAGAATACGTACCTCATGAGTGTGATTATTGCCCCAATCAACTGCAAACTTAAGATGCTTGCATTTCTTCCTGCGGCGGATCGGCCAGAAATGCGTCATCGGCACGAGGCTTCTCGAGAAGAAATCGTAGTATTTAGGCTTTATCATCAAGGTCATACTATCGCACGCCATTATGTATTTCTCACTTACAGACCATGTCACTCCTTCTGCGTAAATTTTATACCTATGGGTACATTGATCTTCCAAATTAGAATGTTTGAATCCTTCTCCGATTTCTTTACCCCAATCCTGAATCAATAAACAAACCAGAGAGTTACAGAGTAACCCCATTTCTCTCGGCATTGCCCGAGTGTTTTCCGATTTCGGATTCGGAACTTACCTGCAAATAAAGCCGAACATTCCAGTCATGTTTACGTGAAAGGTTGCACCTCATAAGATGAGACCTATCTCTAGAAGTAATTGCACCCTTCCAGAAGGCAAAAGGCTCCCTCTTCTCCCACTTGACCTTCTCCCTCCCTACCTTTATTGCCTTCAAGATCTCCTCCCATGGCTTTATATTAACCTCTACCCTGCCACAACAAAGCAAACATGATTAGCAAGTTACTTGCAGTAGAAGTAAGCATTTGTTTTTTCCCTTTTTTTTCTTTTACCATCCCCAGAAGGTCCAGTCAGGGAATATAATGTCCAGCGCCGCCTTCTCTCCACAATAATGAAACACAGGCGGCGGCGGCGATGGTTTAGCAAACAGTCCTTTGTAGTCTCTTTTCATGATCACAGTATTGTCTCCACAAAAGAATAGAAGGTCCAAGTCCGGTACTTTTCCGGGGTATAACCTTAGAAGCTGCAGAATGCCCCATAACGTGAACAAATCTCTGGTTTGATACGACGGTCGGTATCGATCGACATAAGCCGTTCCGTCGGCAATCACGAGCCGGAAATCGGCGCTCGGTATTCCCCTCTCGATCATGTCTTTTGTAATTCCCGAAGCTTTCCACGGCTTTAAATCTTGGTGGATCCACCGGAAGTAGTCCGGGCAAGTTTTGGCCGGTGATTCTTTGGGACTAAACCCCGACGTGTGGTTAACAGAACCGGAGCAGGTGAGAGGAAATGGAATCCTCTCGTGAGGAATTTCAGAAGTAGTAGAACTAAATGGATTCCCCCGTATGATTGGCTGATAAACAAGTAATTTGTTTTATGTTAATTCTAATAAAAAAAATTATTGCTCAGAAACTATTCATAAAAGAAAGAATTATGACTTACAAAATCCATCCAAAACAGGGCTGCAACAACAACGAGGAAGAAGAAGAATATGAAGGTAGTCGTCGTCGTCACGAAACCTTGAGGCGTCCAAGCCTAACCTTTGAAAACCAACCTTGAATTACTTCGCCACTTTTACCTTGCTCCTCCATGGAAGCTGTATTCGCGAGCTCACGCACAAAACCAGGGCTTCAGGACGTGTTCTTTTTAGAAATTGCAGCCGTGTTCTTGAGCTTGCAGAAAGGAAAGGTGGAGCTTCGGGTCAATAACGACGACGAGCTTTGACAAAAGAAATACGGGCCTCAATTATTTTATCTTGTTCAAGTCAATATGTCCTTTACTTCTCTCCAAGTGTGGGAGATAAAAGGATGATGAATGAATTGGTTACACAGTTTCGAAGAAAATATTCGTATCTTAATTAAATATAAACGAATTATATTTTAAAATATTATAATTTAATTTTTCAATTAAAATATTATTAAAAGTATTATTGAATATTAGATGAAATCTTGATATGCTTTTAAAAATCGAATTAAAAAAAAAAAGTGATACGTGTATTTTACGCTATCTAATTTTACTTTTTGGCATCTTTAGAGAATAACTCAATATTGTTCTTCGAACCAAAAATTATTTTATTAACTTTTTCCATCGTATCATTCATGATTTCAATCAGTAAAAAACTATTCATCTCACTATTTTATCTTTAAATCACTAATTCGTTTATAATTAAGATTTAAATAATATTTACATCAAAAATTAAAAATTAAATCCTAATATTTACTTTGTTTGATGTAAGAATATATTTGCTACATGTGGAAAACTTTTTAACAAAGTTATTCAAATGTGTTTTTTTATTACAATACTTGTGGAGCGGAGAGTTCCTGACAAGTCAAATCTCCACTTGCCCCGTTGGTTAAGCTTTTCTTCCACAAAAAGAACCAAAAATATAACGAATGTTGTAGAAGTAAACAAAGGCCATCAATAATTGAATATGATTGACGAGCAGGGATTTGCCTTTGAGATGAGCAAGACACGAGGCAAATTCATGATCCCAGCAACTAACCCTGTGAGGAAGCCCAGACAGATCCAGGGTTCCCTCCCACAACTCCATTGCAAACCCACAGCCCAGAAAGAGATGATCTCTACTTTCAGCCTGACAACCACATATCACTCACAAGTCATTTTCCACGTTAATACCCATTCTCAAGAGCCTCACCTTAGTAGGAAGGCGATTAAGAATAGCCATCCAAACAGCAAGGCTATGTTTGGGAATTCGGCCAGCAAACCAGACCAGGCTATGGCATAGTACTTTAGGATCCTCCACTTGAATCTTATTCCAAATCCTGCCAGCCTTCACTAAACTAATACTCTCACCAGTAAACAATCACTGTGCATCAGATCTAAGCTTCAAGATTTTCTTTAAACTCCAACTAGCATTGGTTGGGGAAGTTCTTACGTACGACCTTAATATACGGCTAAGCAAAAACACTACTAGAAATGTTATTTAAAACACTAATGTTTTAACATGTCCGGTAAAGTGCCCAATATTAACATTTTCGGTAGAAAAAAATAATGTTTTATGTAGTATTTTATCGGATATGTTAACAAACCCGGTAAAACGCTCAATAATAACATTTCCAATAGTATTTTTCCTTAACCGTATATTAGACAACCGTACGTGAGACTTCCCCCATTGATGGGGATCTGTAGTTGCCAAAAGTCCACACCCTTCAAGATATATGCCTTGAGCCAAGCTACCCAAAGGGAATTTGATTGTAATTTTATTTTGTACCATAAAGAATAAACTGAAATAAAATTTAAATTGTAGGGATCAATATAAAAAGTGTGGATTTTATGCATTAAAATTATATGTATCAAATCTTTATAAATAATATATATTTTCATAAAAAATTAAACACATAGAGGTTGAAATAAAATAAAACCAATAAGACTTATCGGCGGAGAAGAAGATAAAGTATAAGGGTATAAAAAATCCCATATTAATATTTTATCTAACAATTAGGGATTAAAACAAAAATTAAACCTTGCACTATCCTGACATGTTATCAACTTAACGGCATTCAACGTTCTATTGATCAAAACTTAATAAATCGATAACATAAATGTATAATTTAAAGTTTTTTTATTTGATGAGCAAAAATGTACACAAATAGAAAGTAAGTGGCCATTCTAATAGTTTATCCATTACAATTTAGAAAATCTGGTTAGGATAAAAGGCTACCCCATTCCACTGCTGGACTTGGACCAACAGTGCCGGAATGGCACCACGTCTTTGACCAAGAAGAAGTCATGGAAATTAGGCCTTATACACAATAAATGTGCTTTTAGCTGAGGCAGCTTCACCTTTCATCTACTAAAACACAACTTCAATTCCCTTATTAAACTTTATTAGTGTTCAAACATTGGCCACTTCTAATTATCAGCCATATTTGCTATTGACACTCGCATGATGCCTCCACTTTGATGCGGTTGGACGTAGTTGAATAACGGGTCTAACTTAAGATAATTATGCCCATTTTAAACGATAGATATATCTATTTTTTTGTAATTAATAATTATAATTATTTATTTATTTATACAATATATAAACATACAATGACATTACATAGATGATTTTAATATATAGAAAAAATTGAATAACTTTTTATATAATTAGTAAATAAAATTAAAATTTAAGTGTAATTTTAATATCTATCCATAAATTATAAAGATTAGTAGTAGGCTAAACTCAAAATGCAATTCGTCCACGTTGTTGGAAAAGTGGCCAACCAAAACGAAGACCACCAGCGCAACGTAGCTGTGCCCAAATCGTTCACATAAAAATCTCTAATTGCTCACCTTAGTTGGCCACCAGCCTAGCCCTACACTATTCTCACTTTTCACATCTCCTTTGCTTTTGCATTTTGCCCTTCGGATGTCATCTCATCATTCATTTCATTTAAGTTTTCACAATAATTTTATCTCATTTATTGCTATTCCATTTTCTTTTATCTAAATGGACTGGATAATTCTAGTAATTTTATTTTCAAAATATATATATTATCAATGATTGAAAATACTTTAAACGTATATTATCAACCGAAGTTAATTCAAGTAGTAAATAAGTTGGTATTGTTTAAGTAAGGTCTTAGGTTTGAATTTTTATGTAGAAAATTCTCGCAGAGAGACTCACCCACCAAAACCAATTGTACGACTCTGGTCGATCCAAATTAATCGGTGCAAAGCCTTAGAAGTGGAGGGTAAATGTTTTAAACATATATTATTCTTATTTTATTAACCTTCAAGTAATTAAATCATATATATATTTAAAATTAAAATTATTACAATAATAATAATTAAATTAAATTTGTGCCAATAAATTAATATATTAAATAATAAAAAGACATTAAGATTACTTGTAAAATTAGAAAAGTTTAGCATAAATATTTTCTCGTAGTCAACAGAAACAAGTGCTACTATGCTCTGGAATTAACTACTATACGCCGTCGTTTTATATTTGTAGACATTCGTGGCACACATTTAACCGTTTACCTGTCCGCAATGGAAAGAATACTGACCGTTGGATCAACCAATAAAAAAGATTTTATATCCAAAAAAAAAAAACAACAACAACAGTGTTTACGCGTGAGCGTGAACTTAGCGCATGAGATAAAAGTCCAGAGTGGATTTATAGTTTGATTTAAGCGAACGTTGCTAATATAAAATGTTATTCGAGAATTTTAAGAGCTCATTTATCACTTAATTTCTAACGAAATTTTCGTTTGTTTTTTCACAAACACCGATCAATCTAAAATATGGCCGACGAGGTGAAGAAGCAAACTGAAGCTGAAACCACGGCGGCTCCACCTCCGGCAGTGGAGACTCCAAAAGCTGAATCCGAAGAAAAAACCGTGTCTCCACCGTCAACGGAGGAGAAACCTGAGGAATCGAAAGCTCTTGCGGTAGTTGAGAAACCTGAAGAATCGAAAGCTCTGGCAGTAGTTGAGAGTAAGCTTGGATTTCACCTCATCGTGTTTGTTTTTATATATAGTTTCATTTTCAACATTCGGATCATGAATTTCATATGTTTCTTTAAAGCTCCGTTTCGTTGCTTAATTATACTAGAAATCAACACTAGTCGGTGAATTTTTTTCTTTTTCGGTGATCTATTTTGTTTAGAGTGTTTTTTTTTTCATTGAAGATTAATTTCTTTATTTATTTCCTGGGTGAAGTAATCTTTTCTTTCAAAATTGTGTTAGTTAAAATTAAAGATGATTTTTCATACAATAAAAGATTAGAATTCGAGTTTCCATATCCTTTTTTAGTTAACTTAGCATCTAAAATCTCTTACTAACACCAACTGATATGGAAAACAGAGTTCAAGAATGTTTGGCATACATCTTTACTTTTAATTGCTGTTTCAGTGGTCTGTTATTTTAGAATATAGTCAATTTGACACAAAAAGGAGCAAATAAAATTAAAAGAATAGTTAAATTTCCTTTTCCAGATTTCTATGCGTGTGAGTTTTTCTTTCTTTTGTTTACCATTTATGAAATAAACAATGATTGTTTTGTTGCACAGTTTCAGCCCTAGAAATTACTCAATTTCGAAAAGTGAATGTTCAATTAGTTTTTTATATATTCAAAAGATCATAGATCTATAGTTTTATATTTTATATCTGAACATATTTTGAAAACTTCTAAAAAATTGGAGCTTTCTTTTTCGAGCCATATCATTCATTTACTTTTCTCAGATCATCAAAAATAATTACTGCCTCGAATCTGATTTTTCTGTTGTAATTGTGTTTATTAAATGTGAAACATCTCTTGACACTTGTGATAATACGTGTTATATTCTAGTAGAATATATGGTTTGGCTGGCAAGGTGCTCTCTGATTAGTTTAACAATATGCTTTTTGTAAACATGGCCCCTCCACTATTATCATGGGCATCTAATAATTTGATTATGCTGCCTTTTTTTCATTATCTTTAGGTGAAAGGTTAAAGTCGCTTTGAGGACATAACTTTTACTGTTGCTGTACCTTTTCTTTTTATCTAGCTTTCAAGATTGAAAAAGAAACCTGAATTATATAGTATTACCATTCTTGATGAAGAACTATAGTTTTAAATTCTCTGTATTGATAGAAATTCCGGGCAATCCTTAATTCGGTGATAGTTTTTGAGCAAGTTTTTCCATACTGGATTTTCTCAATGTACTTAAAGAACCCATTTGCTTTATTTGTTTATGTAGTAAGATTAATCTAGGCATGCTAATATATCGAAGTGTCTTGTGTCACAACTTTAACTATACACGCTCTTGTCATTAATCATTGCTCATCACTCTCTTGGTGGTTTTAACGTTATTTTCATTTTGACAGAGGCTCCAGAGCCTGCACCAAAGAAAATTTCAGGAGGATCACATGATAGAGGTAAGTGTTCGAAATAGTTCTTAGATACCACCGTTTTATTATCATCAGATACAGCTAAAAGGAGGATGATTATCTATAACTTCTTCTATTCTTCAGATGTTGCCCTTGCAGAGGTTGAAAAGGCAAAAAGGTTGTCATTCATCAAGGCATGGGAAGATAGCGAAAAGGCCAAAGCAGAGAATAAGTAAGGCCAAATACCCTCTTTCAATTTCCATGATCTTCTAGAGGACTTTTAACTGTTAAATCATTTATCAACATAAAACTGGTGAGCAGGGCCCAGAAAAAACTCTCAGCTATTGTAGCATGGGAGAACAGCAAGAAAGCAGCTCTGGAAGCTGAACTGAAAAAAGTTGAGGTAACTGGCCCTACTATTTTTGTTTATCTTTCCAGCCATTCCGGCCCAGCAATGTTATTTACTTTCAATGCTATGTTACACTATGCGGTTGTATGGCAAATGTGGAATTAGAGTTTTGAGTTTTAGGTCAAGAGCAGCTCTTTGGATATGCTTAGGGGATCATTTATCGTGCGGGTTCAATTCTTAAGTGTTGCGAATATCGGCAGGAACAACTGGAAAAGAAGAAAGCAGAGTATGCAGAGAAAATGAAGAACAAGGTGGCTTTAATTCACAAGGAAGCAGAAGAAAAGAGGGCATTGGTTGAAGCCAAACGCGGAGAAGAAGTTCTCAAGGCGGAGGAAATGGCGGCGAAATACCGTGCCACCGGACAAACTCCGAAAAAGCTCCTCGGGTGCTTCTGAAGTGTGCCGAGGCAAATGTGTGCTTTAGCTGGTATTTGGTTTGCCCACTTCTCTTGTTTGTAATTGTAATTATAATTGTGCCTCCCCGTTTTCATCTGTATAGTTGTTGTCAGTTTCTATGTTTAAACAGTGTGTAAACGTTACAAAGATTTAATCTGCCGTTTTCCATCTGGGCCATGGAATCGATTGAACCACACACGGAATGCAAACATTTTTCATTTCCGTGCAGGAAAACGATCGCCGGTTGTGTTGGTTTTGCATCAAGAGCTTATTTGTTTCATGTAATTCATAATATTTTTATCATAAATAATATTAATGAAATTATTATAATATTTTCAAATAACAATATTATATCATTGATTTTATTTATTATTTATATAAATAAATTTTAAAAGTATTTAAAAATATAATTTACCTTTTAGAATTCAATTTTTAAAATCTATTCTAAATGAAAGAAACTAACCCTTAATGCGGAAGTCGAGGGGAGTGGCAAGTTAAAAAAGAAAAGGAAAGGAACGTGAAGGGTCGAGTGTTTTCATTCAATTGATTAAGTACAATAAATGAGGTAAGTTAAAAGTCCAAAAGATGGGATAAACCAGAAACAGCGGGTCAGTGGCCAAACTGAGAAGGACGTTTGGTTTGGTGTTTGGAAGTTGACAGCTTCAAGACTTTTGGACCATTCCAATCCTATTTCAAATACTGAGAAACGAGAATTCTACATGACAGATGATGTACTACTTTCGCTTCATTATTACATATCTACTGTAATGTACATTTATGTCTTCACCCACAAACCCTTATCACAAATTAAATTTTAAGATAAAGTACACAAATAATCCTCTTAATATGTGATACTATTTTATTGAATCATTTCATTATTAAAAAGTTATAAAATAGTCTCGACTATAATGTGTTTTTTTTAGTCTTATACTATTGAAACTTACAAAATAGTTTAGCGACTATTCATTATGTTCCAAACTTATCTTTTTCCGTTAAAATTTAACGACAATATGAAATGAATGTTAATCTGTTGTTTGAGATATTATAGCCGAGATCAAATTTTATCATATTTCGAACAGATTGACATCAACTCAAATTCTCACCAATTTTTATGAAAAAAGAAAATGATTTCGAAACATGAATAGTCAAATGATATATTTGTAAATTTTAATAATCGATGACTTAACAAAATAACATTATATAATCAAATGACCATTATATAACTTTTGTTAATCGAAACACTTAACAATACAACATATCGTTAGGGACCATCATCATATAGTCGGGGTCATTTTATAACAGTTAATTATAATTTGTTTCTAAACTATTTTTTTATTTTAAATTGTTTTTTAAAGTTTTAAAGATTCTAATGTTATCTTTAAATTATAAAACTCGTTCTAAATGAATCTAAAACTTTAAAACATTTTAATCTCATCTCAAACTATAATCTTTATTCTAAATTGATCCCTAATTTTTTAACATTCTAATTTTATTCCTAAACCACCATTCGGTCCATTCCTAATTACTATATTAATTTAATTTATTGATAATTTGAGGATGAAATTGAGTACTCATAGAGTTTAAAAAATGAGGGTCAAGATTTGGAGCATGTGATGCAGTTTACTCACTTCATAAACACATTCTAGGTCTTGCCAGCTAGAAACAAAAACACCCTAATGAAAGTGGAGACTAGCAATGTCTTAAAACAAATTGAAAATAGGAATGAGATTAAAAAATATATATATATATAAAATAAATACCTAAACTATACTCAAAATTAATTTTTAATGCCTAAAAATTTTTTCGCTAAAAATAGATGCGTAAAATTTTCTCCGTTATACTTTTAGTTGCCTACCATTAAAAAAAAACTCGTTTAGTGACATGTCACGTCCAGATTTTTTTAAAATATACTTTTAAAAAAATATAAAAGTGATACGTATCACTTAACTGTTATTTTTAACGGTAAACACCTATTTTTAACGAAAAAATCTTTTATACGCGTGTTTTTGTATTAAGCCCAAAAAGAACCCAACCAAGTCATTTATTTTTAAAAGTCAGATAGATGCCCTTTATTTATCCATATGACAAAGGGGAGCAACTGCACCAACATAAAACAACACATAAGTTCCTTGCACAATGCTACAGCCTTTCCACCATGATGAGACTACCATAAGAGTACCAAAAATATGTTAAACTAAATCAAAAGCATGAATTCAAGGAATCGATAGAAGAATTCAGGGGATTACATGCACATACAGCAGCAATAACAGTCTTCTACCAACACCACTTAACACGGCATCCATCTGCCAGGGCAAACACCTTGACTGACCACCTTCATTAACCCTTATAAACATGCAAACAATTGTACATCAACCACGCCATTGTAGCATATAAATCGCACGGTTAAAACAAACAAAGAGACCTTTTGGTGCATGTAATCTAGACACGAGTGTGGTTGCTCACCGTTGATTACCATCATAGGCTGAACAGGAAACATCTACCACTAATCATCGACAGTAAATTGCCTGATCAATGTGTGGAGGAATTTGCTTAATTTCAGTTCCAAGTTCTTGTTCAATCCTATACCTGTTACAAAGGACCACATAAAATTTCAATGAACCCGGGGGAACCTCGATGTATATAGTACTATGGATAAGTTGGGTATGGTAACATACAAGTTAAAGCGGTCCTCATAAGTGATCAAATTCACAGCCAATCCAAGATGACCAAACCTTCCCGATCGACCAACCTGCCCATTAAAAGAATATCCATGAGGACTACCAAAACGAATGATATGTACATTGCACCACGCAAGAGATAAAATATCTTAACCAACATACTCTATGAAGGTATGTTTCTGAGTTCTTGGGGAAGTCAAAGTTAATAACAACGTTAACAGCTTGGATATCTATACCCCTTGTAAAAAGATCTACATAAAGTACAAATACATCGTTAGGAGATTATTCTTCAAAACGACAATTACAGAATGCTTATGAAGAGTAAAACCCTATTCAGCACATGCATCAGGAATTGATTATAAGGCACGTGAAGTATGTTGCTCAAAATAAATTAAAATTAAAATTAAAGCCAGAAACATTGGGTTCAAATTAGTTATTTTCTAGCAAAACAGTAAAAGAAAGTACTTCAGACCAGGGTTTCAAATCGCGGTCGCGGTCGAGTTTTTGGTCATTTCAGGTTTACCGTGATTTTGGCTGTCGCGGACGCTATTGCGGGTGTAGCTGGTAACTCGGACGACGGCGAAACCACTATTTCGCGGGCGCTATCACGTTTTCGGACCGTGATTTGAAACCCTGCTTCAGACTATCAGCTACAAACCATGGATTTACCTTTTAAAGAATCAAACAGAAGACAAAGATTAGCTCATATCCCAAAAACACATAGCACGGCATAACATACCAGTACAAACAAGGTTCCTGCATGCACCATTGCGGAAATCATGAAATACTCTGTTACGATGGTCCTGAAGCATTTTTGCATGGATATAAAAGCAAGAGTAGCCAAGTTCTGTAATTTTCTTGGCCAACAACTCCACCCGATTTACCGAGTTGCAGAAAATGATTGATTGGTTTATTTGCAGCTGGAGATAAATAAATATCACAACTCATCCAAACAAAGGTAAAGAGAGAAAAGTAGTTAAAGTCTTTTATAACATTAAACCTTAGAGAAAAGAGTATTTAGGCAATGGACTTTCTGTCTTTCTTCCACGAAGGCATAATATTGGGTAATACCCTTCAAAGTAAGCTCATCCATTAGATTAATAATATAAGGCTTTTTAAGGTATCTGTCTTTAAAGTCCTTGACAGTAACAGGAAATGTAGCTGAAAACATCAAAATTTGACGATTTGCTGGAAGATATTGTATCAACTGCTCTATAGATGGTTGAAACTCCGGAGACAGAAGTTTATCTGCCTGAAAGAAACCAAAACACAAAAAATCAGATAAAATGAAAAAAGAAAATTGAACTGAGAGAAAAAAATGCAGAGAAACTATCAAATCATTACCTCATCCATGATAAGCATAGAACAATCTTTCAAAATGCAAACACCTTTTTTAGCAAGGTCCAGAATTCTCCCAGGAGTTCCAACCAGCAAGTGGACAGGTTGATACAGTCTCATGATATCATCCCTGAGACTGGTACCTCCAGTTGTGACCATGACTTGAATTTGTAAATGCTTCCCAAGCTCCTTGCAGACTTGTGATGTCTGAAGAGCCAGTTCTCTTGTTGGAACAAGTATGACAGCTATGCAAAAAAACAGATATTCAGTAAAAAAAAAGTAATAACAAATAATAAAAAATCAGAACTCAAGTGTGGCATTGATACACACAAAAAGAGTGGGGAAAAAAGGTAGATGGAGATCTAACCTTGAATAACATTGTTATCTTGGTCAATTTTTTCCAAGGCAGGAATGCAAAATGCTGCTGTCTTTCCAGTTCCATTTTTGGCTCTAGCAAGAATATCGCTTCCAGTTAAAGCAATAGGAATACTCTCTTCTTGAATAGGAGAAGGCCTTTCAAAACCCTTCTCATATATTCCCATAAGTAGTTCACGTTTTAGAAAATAGTCCTCGAATTCATTTCCTTTGGTAGCTGTCACATCCTGGCATCAATTTAATAGGCAGGTCAGCTCATAAACATGTAAATAGGTGATTTGAAACAACAATAAACACCAACATACTACTATCATGCCTTGTAATGAGAAATATGTCACAAAAATAAGAGGATGTCGTACAAAGGATGAAATAGCAAGCCTAAACAGCACTAACAGAAGGCCTCGGCATCAAAACCCCCAGGTATCAGTTCCCCAAGTTAAAAACTTATAAATTTATACATGTATAATAGGAAACTAAAAATAGTAATCCACTTGCATCACCAGAATAACATAAGAAAGCAATTTTTCCTTCACCATCCTAAAGTGCTGAGAAGAATTTTTAATATTTCATGAAGGTATGAAGATTAGCAAAGTGAAATATATAAAATAATTCAAGAAATTTTAGAACCATAACTCTACAATGTACAGTATCATTAACAAGGAAGTAAATATTCAACATTAGAACAGATATCATTTATACAAATACCTCTGTTCTGTAGCGTGTATCTGGCGGTGGCATCTTTAGCCTTGCCTTCCAATCTTGTGAGCTGAAAGAGG